TCTAATAAGAACCCTGCTGAAACAAGTTTATTCTTGTTTCACTGCAATAACTGATTCTGAACCTTCAAAAAAACTACAGAAATATTATTTAAAATTAAAAAAAAAGGAAAAACAGTACATGCCTACAAACAATGTTTAGGATATTAAAACATCATACATTAATTATGCTCATAATTAATTCCTTTGTTCACAAATTACTGTGCATCAATGACATGTATGTATCAAGACCAAGAGATACATGAGCAATAAAAAACCAACATAATCCATCTCCCCCTCCCACCCACCCTCCTCAGAATCCATTGCCTTTTTATTCATCTACCCACCCATTGGTCTTCTGACACAAATATATACTGAAAACCAAAATGTAAGAGCCAAAATAACTGTAGAGTAAATCACCTATGGCTCTTTCTGTGTACCTACTAATGCCTTTCCTTTCATCATCTTCATGACTTTTAGAGAATAAACTCTTTTGATATGTGATGTTTTTAAGAATAATGAACATACAGCTCCTTTTACAACCATAGGACAAATAACTTCAGCTTATAAACCAGTCTGCAGAAAAGCTAAATTAACAATTCTGACCATCCTCAGTAGAGGCAGGCCCCAGCATCACTACCAGAACAATGTGGGGATTGGAGCACCTCCCTTGCTGCACATGATTTATGACAAGTTGTATTTTCCCTTCATAATGCTCAGGATCAGTAGTTACTACACTGGCACCATTAACCATACATTTTCCATGTGACTGAATCAGTATCTTCAAAACTAGACAAATATACAGTGATAGTAAAATTCTACTGCACCAGGACCTCTTTATTAAAAAGTCATAGTGACAAAGTTTTGCTACCTGGATTTTTTGCCTTCAACTTTCTAAGATAACAGTTCAAAGAGAAAAATAATTATTCTATAACATGTTTACAAAATCTTAGGAAAGTTTTCAGTGACTGGTTTAACTAAAACTGCTTATTCTGCCTACTCTTCCTGAATCTTTTTTTCAAACAAAGTACTCACTATCTCAACTTCAATCTAAAAAATGTGTTTGAACAAATCTGTTCTCCATTGAGAGAAAAAAAAATACAATAAAAAATCAGCTTAAAATAAATTTATTAAACAATACAAAAATAAGCATGCTGGAAATCAAGATACATAAATAACATACAATGCAAATGAAAAATGGAAAACGAGACAGGTAACTTAACAACTGAGCCAAAAGGTACAACACAAATGCTAAAATAAATCTTTAAAAAGCATTTACATTTCTAATGAAATGTTAATGATGCTGACAAAGAAAAACAAACAAACAGCTAAAATGCTTGAATATCAAGAATTGCTATAACTGTAGCACAGGTGAACACTAGAACCGTTGCAGACTTCACACATGGAATGACTGAACCTCGGTGGCCCTGGCCCGTGGTGGGTGACCTTGGCCCCCAGGTGCCCTGCAGGAACAGGAGCCATCTGCACACGTGGCAGCAGCCAGGGCAACAAACTACAAGTGTGGGCAAGTTACAGAACAGTTGGTTCTGAGGAGTCTCCTCCTGACCCTTCCTAGCTGGAAGCTGCCTTCAATTCTGAGGCAGGCTTCAAAAGCATATATTACAGAACTGTAATATATTTATATATATATTTAAAGATTGTTTAAGCTGTACCCTAAATATTCTTATTATGCATATTAAAGACCTAGTAGTTTTCTCATTTTTGTATTTCCCATGCAGGACTTGACTCTACCACATATGGAAAAATTGTCCATCTTCAACCACATCTTTAGAAGAGGCTTCAAACAGTACTGAAAATCAAGGTGGGTAGAGTCAGACCAAGCAAATCCTGCATCATGCCTTTTCCATTTTTAATTAAATCAGCAAGTCATCCAGCAACATGTCACCACTGTAAATACTTTCCATTAGCAGCACAGACACATTATGTTCCCTCTTGCAACTGAGGGTATTTCAGGTAAAGTAGTTCTGCAGTATCTGAATACTTGTTATGTCTCTGTAGCTACTAGTTTACTGCAAAATCCTCAAACAGGCAAGACATTTTTCTAATTGAAGACTTGGCCTTTATTCTGAGGATAAGCACTAACAAACCTAACCTTATCATTAGAGATAAGATTATGAAATAGTTATTATTCAGCAATTCATGACTGACACTTATTACTGACATTTGCACCACAGATTTACCTCTTCATCTCAGTAGGGCATCAAATTCACTGAAAACTGATGTTCTGTATTGTTTAGTTTAAATATTTCCATCCTAGGCTTCAAAGACAGGAAGCCCATCCTTTTACAATACTCTGCTAAATGAAGATTATTCAGGGTTTAGTCAGAGCTTTTTCAAATGTTTATGCAAAATTAACAATACCTAAACAGATTAATTAAGAGCAGCTTGCTTTCTCAGAGAACATCAGCTCTGTTTTATGCATCTTCCTAAACTCATGAACATCCAGATGGGTCAAAAAATGGCAGGAAAAAACTAACTCTGCTATTAGGCAAAACTCACATATCAACAGTTTGGAGCTTTAGATAACAAAAAGGGAGAGGGGCTGGGGAAGGGAGCAGAGAGAAGAGGTGAAGGTGTTACTACAGAACTGCTTGTCACTGTCTCTTAAAATCCTCTACCAGCTAATACCATTTATCATTGCTTGGACAAGTTTCTCCAGTTTGATAAACCAGGACTCTGTGTACTAGGGATGGGACACATCAGATTATTTGCCTATTTATAGAGGAGAAAACTTTATATAGAGAATGTTTTTCTAAGACTTTCTGCATTATTAAGAATCTAATTCCTGCAAGTGTTAAGAATTTAGCAAGTTGTTGACCTCTGTTCAGAACTGCCTATTGAGCCTATCTGAAGCTTAAATATATCATTTGGAGCTACACCCTACTCATGATACTCAAATTATCAAATTATGCAGCTGGCTGTGGAAAAATGCAAGTCCTTTTCCTCAGTAAGCTGACAGAGCTGCAAACCCAAAATCATTTCAAAAAAATAGCAATTAATTATAACTTAAGAATTTGCTCCTGTGTAAATGAAACCTCATATATGAACATATGCACAGAATTATGTTTGAAAAACAGCTCTAAACAGCCCTAATAAGATCTACCTATCTGCTTCCCTGTGAACATATTTCCTGCTCACTGCTCAGTTGGTTACCAGTCGAAGCCCCAGATTGCTTACATTCCTTTCCAGGGTGGAGCACAGCACTATTAGTGAGGCAGATTTCTGAGTCAGAACTACCAGCTGGCAGCACAGGCAGCAAGAGAGACACTCCAAAGAGCTGGGGCAGAAATCTCCCTGCTGCATTAGTAAACTTGCAAACAAGACAGGTTTTTTTCCTCCTCCTCCTCCTCCCCACTTCTCCCACTCCTGCCCAGGCATTTCTGCTCCCTTTATTACAATATTAGCATTAATAATTATTAATGGTTTGATAAAAAGAAAAAATAATCTTCACTAGCATGGCATATGCAAAAGGTCCATTTCTCTTCAAATTTGAAAGCTCATATTAAAGAAACCCTGATATGGTAATAATATGACTCAGAACCTATCTCCACTTAATATACAATTATTTAGAAATTCAGGAATTTGCTGTATTTTGCCAAATACTATTTTATATTTTAATTAATATTCTATCTTTACATGCTGACCCTGCTCAGTGGACACAAGCTTTTGCCCATTCTCAAAGTTCATATACTTAAAAATCTCAGATATAAACAAAAATAAACAGATACACCACAAAAGTGGTATGTATCTTTGAAAACACTAAGATTTACCTTTACTTTTTTTTTTTAACTAGATGTGTTCTAAGTAACTACAAAAGTCAGTTTACAGCTTTGGGGTTGTTTGCACATGCTTTTTCCCACACACCCTTGAACTTTGACAATCTTTTTGGTATAGCATACAAAATTTACACAAAAAATATATATAAATGAAACACCAGGTAAACAATATTCAAATCAAAATTAAATCTAGAGATGCTTGAGGGTTTTTAAAATGAAGAATTTAATGGAACTAGAACCCATTTGTTTAGTTCTGCTCTCCCCGACCTTCCATTCTATACACTACGGTTCTGGAGATGTCCTCGTTTGATTCAGGTGACACTTTTTTCCATACTGTTTCTTTTAAAGCAAGTTCTTGCTGGAGATTCTCATAGTCCATTGGTCCAAAGGAATGCTAGTTGTTCAAGCAACATACATTATTTATTAGTGTACTTGAAGGAAAAAAAAAATCCATACTTGCAGTCATTGCTAACAGACTCAAGTGTTTCAGCTCTTCACATAAACTGTTAGTTTCACTTTTCCACTTATAAAAAAATTCAACTCAAAACTGGGTGATTTTTAGATGTATACATGCAAATAGAAGCACTTTAATAATCATTCTACAGTATTGAAATTTTCATGCCTTAGTCAAAACATTAATGGTATTGAAAACAAAGAGGTTTTCCTTATCTCAAGGCCCTCATGCTTGTATCATTTGTAAATGCAGCTGGAGTGGATTCAGTTCATTCCCAGACACTGCTTATGCTGCTCCCTAATTGCAGGCTCTGGTCTGCAGCACTATTCATGCCTGAATTCACTGCCTGCGCAACTCCCAGCAGGTCATGTGCTGTTAGAGACATCCTTGTGAGAACACAGCTACACACAGATCTCGTGCGTTGCAGCACACACCAGAAAGGCTAAGCCCACCAGCTGGTCAAGTCTTTATTAAAGGCAACCAGTACAGTAAAACTCTTGGCAACCTCCATCAGATCCCATCTACCTAATCTAGCAGGGGGGATGAACTGCATGAAATGGAGTTACAAATTGAGTAATGAATTCTCCTAACACAAAACCCTGTGACAATGTGGTCCACCCAGGTAAGTGCCCACTAATAATGTACACTAACTAGATGATCTGAAAGCTTTGATGCAATACATGTCATTGAGCAGTTTGGCATTTAGAGAAGAACTTGCCAGATTTCCCCTGAAGTCTCTGAGCAATACCCACTGCACACAGACAGCAACTTACCCGCTGATCACCTCCTTCTCTGCGAGGATCAAGCTTTTTTGCAAAGTGTCTCAAATTATCGTAGTTATGGAAATTGCACAAAGAAACCAGATCCTGCAAGCATTTAGAGAACATGCATTATTATCTGCATAGGATAGCCAAATGCATCACAGTTAATAATAACACTACCACTTACATTTTGCATCATATCCTAGTAACTTAAACAGTAAGAAGTTTATTTAATAAATCAATACCCATGTCCATAAGGCACTTTGAACATAATAGATCTACAGGATAAAATTCTAATAATGCCTTGAAATAATACCTTTAAATAATACCTTTATAATATCTTTACTTCCTTCTTACAGAAGGATGAAACAAGGAGCAAATTTGCAAAATATCTATTTTAATAAATTCCTACTTGAAGACAGGAAGCCCATCCTTTTACAATACTGTGCTAAATGAAGATTATTCAGGGTTTAGTCAGAGCTTTTTCAAATGTTTATGCAAAATTAACAATACCTAAACAAATTAATTAAAAGCAGCTTGCTTTCTCAGAGAACATCAACTCTGTGTTATGCATCTTCCTAAACTCATGAACATCCAGATGGGTCAAAAAAGGGGCAGAAAAAAACTAAGTCTGAAATTAGGCAAAACTCACGTATCAAGAGTCTGGAGTTTTAGATTAAAAAAGGGAGGGATTTAAAGCATAAATGAGCTGTATGTAACCCTTCAGGAACAGAAAAACTTCAATCAGAAGTATGAAACAAGGAAATGAATGACATAAGGGATTCTCAATCGGCATGAATTACAACATGAAAGACTATCATTACAAAACTTGGCAATGCTGTTCTATTTTTAAAAGTGACTGCTATATTATTGTTACTTGTATGCCACAATCATGAATCAGTTTTTAGGTCTCATTGCAACACAGAATTGATGCAGTAAATCCTTCACCTACTCCTCTATTCTAGGATTTAGAATTACGTTACCACACCATTTAATATGAAGCTTTAAAGCGCTTTAACTAGAATCAGTAACTTCTTAATTTGAAACTATGTAAATGTTAGATAAATAGAAGCATGAAAAGGTTTAACTGCTGCTCAACCTCCCATTTATAATTAAGCAATCATCATTACTAGGCAGTTTTAGGGATAAAAAAGGAAGAAATTTTTTACATTCTCCTCTCCCACAAAACACCTTAAATAATCATTACTAAGTCCTCCCCAAAATCTCTCCTTCTTCTAATGCTCCTATCAGCAGACTATCCACAGTTCTTTCACTGGCTCAACATGAAGCATAGAAGAGTTTGCCCAACATCTGGGTATCATCTATGAAGACATCTTTTGTCAGATGGTTTACAAAAATTAGTTTAAAAATACATCAAGATGGAAGTATTTCATTACAGTCTTTTTTGTTTTATTACAATGAAATAAGAGTTGCATTTCCAGTGTTTTGAAAACTGCACTTTATGACAAGACAGGGAAAAAAGTCTATAAATAGAGCTCTAGAGTTTTAATGCAATATACTGGAGTCCAGCACTTTCATTTCCCCATGAAGTGTTCCTTCTCAAAGCTTTTTCACAACAATTTCTCCAGTGCTTCTGGCATCATACTTCAGTGCTCACTGAAATCAAGTGCTATTTACTACTAAAAAGCAAACATCTATTCTTAGACTTTCACCCTTGGACCAGATGAAACTTGCTATGTAGGGAACAATCAGAAATCACTATTTAATTCACTTAGATCTCAGCTATGCCAACTGAAGCTCAGTAAACATCAGCTGCAAAAGCAAAAAAAACCCAGAAAACAAACCCAAACCCCAAGGTCAATGGTGCTTACATGACAAAAGTGAATTCCTTTAACACTGTTGCCCATCTTGTCCAAAGGAGGTGACCAGCACATCAAGCCCATGACATTAGGAACAACCAGAAGAATCCCACCAGCAACTCCAGACTTTGCAGGAAGACCAACCTACAGAATAATCAGAGAATTACTGGCCTCTGCAATAGTTCCTCACTATTGTAACACAGTGCATCAGCATCTTCCTGAAGATTATTGTGTAGCATTAATAAAGCATGTATCTGGAAGGCACTTGAAGCTGGGAAAGCTTATCTCTTTTTAGATAAACAATAACCGGATGCAGTTTGTGACAATCCAAGGTTCACAATCATAAAACTATTTGCTCACAGGAATACAGTGAGCCAATAATACTGTGAAAGAAGATAATTTAATTTTTTTTTTGAAAAAACTAATTATGACTAAGCAGTAGGACACAAGTATATGTCTCACAAACAGCTTGCAACAAGGTGGTAGAATGAAGCTGTAAAAGTCTTGGCTGGAAAAGGTAAAAAACGAAAAAACACAAGAAAATTGGAAAGTATCTGTGAAATCATACAATAACCTACTTGTTTACAATCTGAACAAAGGCATTACTTTTTTCAGTAGGAACTAACATATCATATATCCTCATGGCTCTCCAAGCAGCAACTTTTATGTCACACAATGCACCACAATCAATTTTATGTGTATGCAGTAAGGAAAAACTAAAAATGCTGAAAAAAAAAAACTGAAAGCATAAGATACATTCCATCTTGAATTATATACATGTAAGGAACACACTGCTAGAAAACAGGAGCACAGTACATGTGCTGTGTGTGACAGCCATTTTCACACATATAAGGTCAATTTCTGAGCCTGAGTTACTGAAGAAAAAACAACTGTCTGCAAAGGCTTTCTGCTATCCTTGACTCCCACACAGCAGGATCGCTTCAGCCATGAAGAAATGTTGCTTCTGTTGCTCTCATGAACAGCCTTCCTAAGGAACAGCATTTATCTTTTGATATGAAAAGGATTCCCTGAAGTGAAGGCAGAGTGCTCTAGGGTATGTGACACTAGTAGAGCCATGAATCCTTGGTGAGATTTTCCCTTACAGTGCGCTCCATTTCTAAACAATTCATGTAACACCTTCTCTTCTGCCTCAAAACAAGGAAGCAATCCTTAGAACATAGAAAATATTAGCAGAAATGAACCTTCCTGGTCAGCTGTAATTAAAATCTGTGAAGTACTTACATGGAAGGCAAACTGCCCTGAAAAGTCATACATGCCACAGGAATGCATCAAACTCAAGGTATTCCGGACTGCCTCGGGGCTCAGGACTCTCTCACCAGTGATTGGACAAAAGCCACCATTAGCCAGAGTTGCTGCCATCACACTTGCTGACTCACATGTTACTTCTATTGAGCAAAGCTTATGGAAAAGAAATAGAGATTATAAGCACTGGTACTTCTAGCAGAGTAAGGCCAACTACAGCAGGACCAACAAAATACTGAAATCTTAAAATAACATCTCAGAATCACCTGTAGCATATAACATTTCTTACAGATTACACTAGTAGCATCAATTACTACAGTCTGAATCTTTCTGCTATAAAGATCCCAGTGGCAGTGTTTGTAAGCCCTCTTAAAAGCTGGGGACAGTATTTTTATGGGTTAGTGTCTCTGCTCGATTCCTCCCCCCACCCCCCTTATGTTCCTATGAGAGGAAGAGGTCTGTAAAACAATCTCTAAAAAAGTATTTTGCATCTGCTTAAATGGCAAAGCCACAGAATGGCTGGTTGTTTTTTTTTTTTTTTTAATTTGAGCTTGTTTCGTGTGGTGGGTTCTTTTTATTTTAAAGCCTTAGAAGATCCCACACGTTATTAAAAGTACAATTTAAAGCTGCAAATTCTAGCACATGCAAGTGTTAATGCCAGCACTTCCTGCTGATGCAGCCTTATTTCACCTTTCTCATATTTAATTTCTTATATAGTAATGATACAACCACACCATAGTTTTTCCCAGGATCCCTGCTTCAGTACAGACTATACATACTTTGGTGACACATCAGGAAATGTGATAAGATGCCATCACCTGATGCTGCCTCATTTCTGCAGAAACCAAAAGATAAGTTGGTTTCAACCTGAAGCTGAAATGCTGCTCTAAAAAGTAAACAAACTAGTGCTCCTATCCTTGTTTCTGCCAAACAGTCATTACATGATACTTCATGAAGTTACCTAAGCCACGTTTGCATGAGTAGTTACTACCTGGAATTCTTATTTTCCGGGTGCCAAACTCAATACATCCTAGTCCAATCAACTGGAGTTGCAAATCAAGAGATTGTCAGAGACGCATCTAAAATGGCAACTGTGTTTTAAACATATGAAGTATTACATAATATCACCTACTTTCAAAAAAAAAATTGTTTCTAGGTTCTCAGTTTAAGCACCTGCATTCTGTACGTCGTTTGTCTAAACTGAGAATAATCCATCCTCACTTTACAGAGATAACAGGCAAATACGTTTATTCCTGCTCAGAAAGTTCCCAGTCACAAAAGGGAGGAAGGAGCATTACAGAAAACCCAAAGAAAAGAAATAACTAGATTTTTAAGTAGAATCTGAGTGTTGGAAAGGTAAGCATTGTACCCTAACAGGAAAAGAGAAATGTTGCTCGTGTATGAGCTACCCTTTTCCTGAGCATGGAGTGAAAAGGGGATTTTTCAAGGGAAAAAAGAAACAATGACACATGGTCATTAAATTAGAGATTAGAATGCACAAAAATGAGGCCAAATTGAAATACATCAGAAAAGTAAGCTTTAGTATTTCTTAACTTATGAATAGCTTCCACTTAGAAAACACATCAGGCAGTGGGATACAAGGCATTTAAAAAGCATTTTTACACAGTAAATTCATATAGATTACACATTCTCTTCTGTCACAAATTCAGATTAGAGTATTAGCTTGTACCTAGTTTCTAACTCAACAGGAGGTCAGCTACAGCTAATCACACATACCTTACTTCTTAAACACTCATCCAACCTAAATACAAGAGAGCAGGTGCATCCCCACACAAAAAAATCAAATAAAATTTGCATTTTGAAAATAATGCCTTATAATTTGCATAAGTAACAGCAAGTTTCCAAGTCAAAAACAGATTTTGAGAACTCTGTATTTCTTTTTTTAAACTCTCCCAGATGAAGTGAATCAGTAACACAACTTGAACTTCCTCTTGAGAACTCTACACAGCAGGGCTGAGTTGTGTGCATTTAAACATTAGGAAACCCTTACTGAGGAAATACCTCACACTTGCAAGTTCTCATTTTGTGACAGTTGTAAATAACTTGCTGAAAGTGAAAAAAATAAACAAAAAGGGGGGAAGGGGAGAAAAAAAATATATATCCTTACTCAAAAGCATTGAATGAAACCAAAAGGAGGTGATATTCCCATTTCTTCCCTTGTAGCACTCCCTCAAGCCTACAGCTCAGCATGCACTCTCCAGCCACAGAGGTTAAACTACTCCACAGCACCATAAGAAGCAGCAACCCAAAGAGGAAGTGTTTTGTCAAACTCACTGAGGTAATACAAGACATTTCAAGCTTCTAACTTCAAGTGGTTTAAAGACTATTGCTAGTTTGTATTAGCAACAAAGACACCTGAGTAGATCACCTAAACAAAGGCAAATCTGGATACATCACACATACATCTGTCCTTTCCAGAGTTAAAGAGAAGCTGACATTTAACTGCACGTCATTAAAGCCTCCATGTCTAGGCACAAATCAGCTTCTACTGCTTATAATAGCAATTCTAAGCCTATGGTGAGTCTCAATTTTAAAGTCAGTTACCTGAAAATAGAAGTCTAGTATAGCAACCATATCCGTGCCTTCAGGAAAGCACTGAGGAAGAGAAAGAAAGAGTCTTTAGATAAAATGATTATTTTTTTTAAGTATCACTTTTAGATAGACATACCTTTAGCTATACTGTTGTCAGCATACTAAGCATTAGGTGTATTTTAATATAAATATTCAAATGTAGTAAGTAGAAATACTTAATGACATCAGACTTAAAAATAACACAGTGCAGGAATATCAATAAACTAGGTATTAAAATATTTTCCAGTATAGTTTTCAACATCTTTACATAAGCAAATGGAAAAATGCATCCAGGAGTTTTATAAAGTCACCTCTATAGCACAAATTTCACTTTTTCCAACAAATAAAACGAATTGCCATGGCTATGTTACAGAAAAATATTTAGAGGTATTTTATAAGAATGGCATAAATATCACACTTTTTAAATGACAGCATTTGAATAACTCCAGTAAGACATATCCAGTATGAATTTGTGCCACACTGTACATAAATTAAAAGGCTTCACAGATTACAAATAAAATCCAGAAAACGATCTTAAAAATATACTTAAGAAAAAAAAGTAACCTTTTTTTCTTTCAAGTAATAGCCAATTGCAAAGTTTCTATCTCCACTCTCTCTTTCAGACTGAAACCTAAAAGAGAAAAAAAGAAGAAAAAAAAAGACAAGGCAACATGTCAGACTTTCCAAAAAACCCCCAAAATCGCTGAACTCAAGATGTATAAAGTAATTCAGTAAAATTCCATGTAAAGGATCCCTCACTTCTGAACACAACTATTCTACTCATGGGACAGAAGTGGCCACAGCAGCTCATCCCAGTTCACCCAGCTGGAGTGAATCAGCACTGACATCCAAATACACACAGCACTGGTTACCTACACAACACAAGCTGACTTGGAGAGAAGGCAAAGGAGGGAAAAATCCTCATCCTGGAAGCATTTCTGAATAGGCCAGAGTGGGATGAACCGTCCCACACTGGGACAGTGGAAGGGTCACCATTCCCTGCCCCAAGCACAGCAATGTGAGGATCACACAGCAGCTCAGACAAAGGCTGCACTCCTCACTGGGATGACAGAGGAGAGGATGAAGCCTAAAGGAGGAACACCTGCTTGGCTCCTTCTGCAGTACACACCTTTTACTGAAACAAAGCTCAGGAAAACATCTCTGCACATGCACTGGAAACAACTCTGCTAAAGGGAATCTCCACGATTTACCCTGTGCTGCCTGAAAAAGCTCTCAAGATTTTTGGAATGTTATACACTGAGTTTATGAGGGGAACTGTTTGTTTGAGAAAAGAATTTAAATATGCAAAATAAAAAAAGCAGAAGTCCCAGTTGTATCAACTATACCTCCTAAATATTTGCTATGCAGTCACCAACATGCAGAGTTTAATTTTTAATATGAATGCCAGGAAGAGAAGAGTTGCACTTACAGCTCTCATTGCCATAGCACCAACAGAGCACTAAGACAGAATAATGACATTTTCAAAGAGGTAACCAATACTTTTAGGTGAAATTTTGCCCCACCAGTGTCAGAGACATGCACAACTTTAGTTGTAAATTGTTAAGTGAAAGACACCCTCCAATAAAAGGGATGAAATGTTGGTTGAAATGTAAATAACTGAACTTTGTCATAAGCTAAAAATATCAGTTATCAGTTGAACCACTTTCCACCTAACCTTAGTAAGTGAATAAAAAATACTTACGTGGCATTACTGAATCCAACATACTCATTACCAGCCATTTTATTCATGAACTGCATCACCTGGCAGAGACAAAGACAAGGAAAAGTAATATTTTTACACATAAAAAGGTTATGAACTTTCAACCCAGCCTTACCCTAAATCTTGCAACACCCTTTTAGAAATGCAATACAAATCACTAAATGTTTAAATAACTAAGTACATCTACAAAGACAAAGCCCAGGCTATGACTAAAATTTCACTTTCAATTCCCTTGCCATCTTGAAACTTTTACCACTGAAGTTAGTTAAAAAAAGAGAAGTTATAATGTTAACTTACGTAGTCAAATTTTTCTGCGTTATTTGCTCCTTGCTGCAAGAAAAGAAAAATAATTTACAAAAATTGTTAACAAAGGAGCAAAGTTAGTTCACTTAACAGTATTAGGATTTTAATGCACATAACTAAGGTATGAGTCTAATTAAGAATAAGGTACTACAATCACTTCATATATTAATGAAAAAATTTACATGTTAGATAAGTAAATCTTTAATTATCTTTTAAATAATCCTATGCATCTTAAACACCTGTATGCTGGAGATTAATTTAAATTGGAAAAGGTATGCTTTATTTTAAGTGCTCTCTATTCAACTTTACATGCTTAGCATAAGTAAATGCAGTAGCTAAAGCAAAAACATACAAAAGTAACTACAAACAGGATAATTACAGTAAAAACACTAACTTTTTAAAGATTAGTAAGGCAAAGGTATTCTCAAATTACCAACAGAGCTGAGCATAGGGAGGTTCAGGCTACTTAAGTTAAAATATTTCCACGGCCAGTGCCCATACTAAGAATTTAGACTGAAGACTTGAAATGAAGTGTTATCTCTAACTATGAAAGTAAATGCAATTAACTTAAAAATATCTGAATAATGTCCTACCTATTAATAATTGTTGAACAGCTAAAAAAATAGAATTTTCCATCATAGGGCACATCATTGTGCTAACAATGTACAGGAAAATCTAAACTCAACTTAATAAGGATGACAGTGGAACATAATTCTTAGGGTGGGCTTGATTTGGGTTTTTCAGGGAGGATGAGGGGTTGTTATTTTGAGGATTTTTTTTCCTTCCTTGTTCAAGAACATTCTCAAATTTAGTAGCTGCCAGTTAAAGACATTAATTTTTTAGAGGTCTCTGATAGGTGACCTTTCACAAATTCCTACAGAAAGAGATTCAAAGAGGACTGGGAGGTAAAAGATAGCACGGGGTCCACTGGGAGGAGTTTTAATTTTTTTTTAAGTAGCCAAGTAGAATTTTTGGAGGAAGTTTAAAAACCAATGGCATCACATACACAAGTGGAACAATGTATCTGGAGAAGATATTTTAATACAGGATTTTAATATTAAAGACATTCTATTTAGAATAACAAGACTAACAAATCTCAAACAATTCAAGACGCTGCTTGCACAGTGTTTAGTGTGGGGATGGGGAAGAAAGTGGAAAAAAAACAGAAGCTTTATATCAACCAGTATTTTACTTAATTAAATGCATAAAGCCAGTCTCATTTCCCACTCTGTATGTGGATTAGGGTGTTGCAGATAATCTTGGAAGCCCATGCTTCAGCTCATCTACAGGAGGATGTGCAGACACACACGTACAATCACTGGTGAAAGGAGCACCACACTGTTCTCTCAAAATTATGTGCCAGTGGTTACCTTATGTTTAAAGGCTAATAACCTCACTCCTAAAGGCAATAAACTCTAGCTAATTTGCAATTAGATAAAAATGCATGATACATTTCATCAAAATGTTCCTGTATAATATACCAGAACACAAATCTTAAAAATTTAACTCCAAATCTGTTCAATGAAAAATAATTAAAAGAAGAAATTACCAACTTCATTGAACTGTTGCAGTTGTCAAAATATTCCATAGATCCTAATGCTGTAAAATATGTAACAACATTTAAACCACAAAAACCTTTTTAACCTTTCAAATGCACAATGAACATCTTTTTCTGGGAAAGTGGGTCAGCATTAGTTATGGGATGCTGCATTGATAATTGTATGGTTAGACATGTATAATAAATTGAAACAGGTTCTTTTGTTAAAAAAAAAAGAAAAGAGGGAGAAAGGGATCATGCTTTCTGCAAAAATATAAATACATAATACTTTACTTTTTTGTTCTGCCCACTGGAAAAAGTATTCCCTCAACAAAAACATGGCTTTACCAGCAGCACATAAAATTGGTGGGCAAAAGACTCAATGCAAACTTTTTCCACATCGACTTCTTATAAAAAAAGTTCCTTTTAAAGTTCCCAACTAAACTCGTGTTTTGGGAAGCAAATCTTCTGCACACTAAGCCAGATGATGAGTTTTAGTCCTTGATGTTCCACGCACTTGTAGAGGTATTTCACATCACACACAAAGCATTGTCACTGAACCCAGACTGCTCGTACACCTGAACTATTTGCTGAAGCAAGCCCATGATCACAACCTCAGCAGGGATTTACTACAACACGTCACTGAAGTGAGAAACTCTGCTTCCATACGCATGATGGCTAAAAACCCCAACAGATTATTTCCCCTCTTCCAGCAGCTCACAGAGGTGTCCTGCTCCTCCTAAAAAGCTGGAGAGACACAGTGGCAACACACATTCTATGATTAAAATTCAATTGCAAATACAAAATCCTAACATTCAGAGTACTGAGCAGCTTTTCCATAATAATTTAAACAAATATAAAGGGACAAGGGAACTTCTGTTCTTCCACAAGTGTTTCTTATTTTAAGCTTGACTGTAAAAACTTATGAGTTTGGGGGTACAACATTTCTTAAACAGCATTTTTAAGGTTCAGATGCAATTCAACCTGTCTAGAACACCAAAGAAAACATTCCATGCACTAAACTCCACAAACACTTTGTACATTTACTGGAACATGTTCATATACACACTTATACATGCTTGTGTGTATATGCATATGAAAAAACACTTCTAAATGAATACAAAATTAAATTTACAATGTTAAGACTGAAGCAGTTTGATAGGCAGAAAATTCAAACTTTCAGAAGACAGCTCAATACAATTTTGTAAACACTTAAAACCCCAATGGACACTATGGCTGTCAATCATAAATTTGAATTTTTTGACTGTGTCAGGTTTTAGTGATCTTCCCTTTTTTTTTCTAAAAAAGGTACTTGTAGTGTATTATTGTATTTCTACTAAAACATATAAACAGTTGCAAAAGCTACATGTCTACATAGGAAAGAGAGACCCATGGATACTTACCAGAGCTTGCAACAACAGAATTAGGCAAAATTTATTAGAAAAGTAGTTAATATTAGCCACTTTTCACTGATCAACACTGTTTCTATGATTAGAACATATAAGCTCTTACCACGTGTCTCTCGTTAAAGCAATTTCTCGATTTTGAACCTAAGCAAAACTAATAAAAACACCTGCACCATGAGAAGTTTATAATCTTCTAATAATAGAAGATTAATTTAAAATTAATTTCTGCAATATTTAAAGCCAAATTTATAATCTAACACTATATTGTGATGAAAATATCCAGAAACAAAAAAAATCATAATTCTGTGTCAGAGTGCGATAAAACTTTTTTTAAAATACGTCTGCATTTTTCATGAAGTTAGCTACTGATGTCTTTATTTTAGCTTTCTCTGTTTACACACTTTTTATATTTCATTTGTTAAGATGGTCCTGTTCTGTGTCTTCAGTTTAGTGCACCATTTTCAACTCTGAAATACTTGAGAGTACACTGTGACAGACAGTATTTGACCTAAGTCCAACACTATCAAAATTTCAAACACCTGCAAGATTTTTTTTGTATCCTTCACTTCTGTGCATGTGTGATCACTTAACACATTATTTCACAGAATCCACTACATATTCTACGTCAGATAACATCCAATATACTTGAGTTTTAAAAAGAACATGGATGTAAGTTCTATCCCAAATAGTTGCCATAAGAAAATCAGTAATCTAGGAAGAGAGGCAATGTCACCAAAGTGAAGACAAGTATCTGGCAGAGAAGATCACAACACCAACACGTTGTGAAGTGGTTTGTATGCACATTCACATATCAGCCTCTCGGGAAGGATAACTCCAGTGACAGCAGAAAGCAATTAAGCTAAATCAGTACTATTCATTGTAATTGTATTGTCAAATAAACCATGCATTTTCCCACGTCTCAAGTACTGAACTGTAACTGCATAGGTTTCTTAATACCTGGATCCTGACAGCAAACAGACCCTTGGCACAGCTAGACACGTTTTTACTACCACTCTTTGCCTCATTTACTTTGTGATTTATCAGCATATTTAGCAAGTTCTTAAATGTATCACAACCCTCTCCATGTTTTATACAAAATAAAATAAGCTTCCACTGAACTAAGGTTTTTTAAGGGTCAGAAAGATCATAATTTTCATTTTTTGTACACCAAATTTTCTGCAAAAACTATGACTTTTGCTATTGCTAGCATGTCTAAATGCTTCCCATATAATCCAAGACCACAGCACACCTCCCTTCAATGAGCATTCCACTCCTAAAAAAGGTCCAGCACTTAGAAGATCTAAAGATGCTGTATTTGCCTGAACCTTTGCTGTTAGGTTAGGAAAACTTTTATCTACAGATGGAATGTTAAAGCATACAATGAAAATTATTTCATATTAATCCATTGTCCTCTGGTGATTTCACCCACAGCCATCTGCCTTCTTCCACACATTTCTATCTGAACCCTTCCTCTTCCTCTCACCTGTGCTTCTAATGTGAGAATCAGTACAGGTAACGTGGAAGTGGGAAGTTCCTGACAAAACCACTGATATTCCTGGAGTTAAGAAGCTTTGAGAATTGAGTTTAAGGTTTAAGACAACAAGAGATCAAAGCAGTAAAATCTATCCATACTACAGGCAATAAAGACTTTTCCCAGCCAATGTGATGTACAGAAAGCTGCACTGGATCTGTACTAAATCTGTACAGAAGTTGAATCACCTTCTTTCAAGCACCTGTATTTCCTTGGAGACATGATAAAAATTACTGTTTTATCTCATACCACTTTTCCATAAACTCCTGTAATTGCCACTACAATTTTCTTTTGATAAAAATTATTTGAAAATTGTTGTAACTATGTCATTTATAAAACTAGTAATACAGGCAAATGGCTGTACAATTATCAACAAGGGAAAAGGTTCTCAGTGGGTTTTTTTTAAACTTTATTTCACTAAAAGTGACCTGCAGGATGTCCTTTTGCTAAAGCATTTTTATTGTAGACACATGCTTTAAACTGCTGGAACAGTCTGTGGAGTGTAATGGATGTACAATTAGAACAGGGGCAGGGGTTAAGGCACCAAAATGTAAATACAGCATAGTCCCAAACACAGGGCAGTTGGAAAATCACTTAAGATGGCAGGAGTAGGATACAGCCATGCCAAAGTAACTCAAACAAACCTGTCACTTAACGTGCACATACCCCTAATTATTTATTATTATGGATTGCAAAGACAATGTAACACTGTAGTTTAGCTCCCTGATCTGTTCCAAGGCAGGAACAACAAATTCTAACAGTACTCAGAACTGCTGGATATGTGATGCCAAGAGCCTTTTTTAACCCTAAAATGTTAACATATTACAGGTTCATATATTCTGATACAGATTACTCCAAACATCATCCCTCATCCACAGTCATACTCTGTGCCAGGCTCCAAGGACAGCTGGGTGCAAGATCACACCTACAAACAACTCAATGTGTACAATGTGTGAGAACATTGAAAGGGTTTTTAGATCCATTTCTCAGAGAGAAATAATGAATCTCAAAGGAGGTAAAAGCATTCCTAACCATGAAATACAGCAACAATCTCTCTGTGGTTATTAACATGCTATAGTTAGATAAATCTGCAATTCACAGTGAATTTAAATTTTCTTGTAGTTTAAGAGCCATACACTGTTTTCAAGACATGTAAGTAACACCTTAAATAAAATGAATAAATGCAGAGGAATTGAGGGCAAAACATGAGTTAATAAAGCCACCTTTTTCAGAAAAAAAGGTAAGTTTGATATTAGATCAAATACAAATGTGAATTATGTATTTCACTGGTTAGTAGCAATAATGTTAAGTTGCAGATTGTAAAGAAGCTACTTCACAAAAATTACAACTAGTAAGTAGTTTTGTAGTGGTGACCCTCTATGTAATTGCCTTCAGAATATATTTAGCTTGGTTAGTTATTCAAATGATAAATGGTATCTTAGTCAAAGCAGTACAGAAAATCTACATTTTAATCACACTGAGAAAAATAATGGTGTGATAAGTAAGATACGAGTCCAGACGTGCAGTTACCACATGCAGAAATGTTAGTGCAATGCAATACTCTTCATAAGAACGTTACAGAGAAAACCCAAATAAAAGTTAAAAAAAAGCAACCCAGCAAAACCAATCCCCAATCCTTCTAACAAATAGCACAGTTGCATGCATTAAACAAATCCATGTTATCTATTCAGAAGTACACCATCTATCATGAACTACGTGCCTTCTACAAGAGGCACAGGCTTTTGTTTTGCCTTATGATCAGTAGGTCATGTTGGAGTTGGACTAACATTTTAACATTTCAGACAAATGTGTTAAGTCAGATTTTAAAATTCACTATTATCCAAGTGAATTTCAATGCTCAGTCCACCTTTAAAAAATATTAAATGTGAATAAATTTACCTGTCATACTTAAGGCCATTTTCTTTCACCTACAGCTATCAAAGATAAATGTCTTTAAGCAGGAGTTCTTACACCTTCTTTAAATATAAAATAACAGAAAATCATGATCTAAGTAATTTTAAAATCAACCTTTTGAAAATAGGGGGTAGGAAACACACTGTAGCTAATGGACTTGGAAATGCAACCAAGAAACAGATGGTAAACAAGACTTTCAGACCTCTGAAGTAACAGTATCAAGTTCACAACTCAAAAATTCCAGGGGACTGACATGTTCCCCAGAACTCTATGCAGGTACCCTTAGGAAAAAAAAAAAATTTTTTTGCACCTATGGCTACTAAAACCAGCAGAAAATACAAGTCAAGTATCAGGCAAACATTAACATTTCATGGAGTTTATATCATTAACAACTTCGAGACATTTATACAGCTGTTCTAGGAAAAACATAAAATAGAGCTTTCCAAAAGTATCAAGATTATGGACTGAAGATGTAAAGTCATTCAGACCTGGTGTGCTTGGCAAAATAAGTTCCTGTTTTCAAACACTCTTGTTTATGAAAGTACACTTACATCCCAAAAGCAACTATGTACCATAGAAGCTCAACAAAATTTAGTGGTGCAGGATGTTGATAACACACAAATTCAACATAAGACTGACATTCAGATATAGCAGCATTGCTCCTGTACAAATTACAGCATCTTCCATTTCTTCTGCACTGCAAGAAATACTCTTGTAACTTTATGCTCTTTAAGAGCACTTAGACACTCAGAAATGTACTTCTGAGCTCTAGAAAGTATATTCCTGAGAAATATACTTCCTCAGCAATTATCAAGTAGAAGGCAACACTCTCAAGAGAATATCAAGTGTTGTGCAGCTAAAGAAGGAAACAAATCTAATACCATCAAGGAAAAAGAGTTTTTCAGATGCACTGATACTTGTTAGAAACTGCTATTCTAACAACGCATTCATTTGGAAGGGTTACAATTCCCAAAATATCAGTTTGTCTACCTGCCAATGAGTAAAGTGCCATCAGATACTGCAGACAAAAATCAAATATAGTTTATAATTTGCACAAAACATTTTTTCTACATTCTACTAAAATACTCAGAGAGAAACTAAAAATTAACTTTTTACCTTGATTAAAGATGTGATCACAATTGCTCCAGCATTCACCATAGGGTTATGAGGCCTGTCTGTGAAATAAAGTTTTCAATTACAAATATATTCCAAGACATGCTTGTCAAACAAAACCAGTGAGGTGCCTAAGTGAAAAATTATTCTAGATTTAAGTATGACTAAAAAGCTGCTATTACAGAATAGCAATTACATAATATTAAAAAATACTGTCATCCAACACTATACAAAATATTCTACCATTATAAGCACAATACTTTACAGTTAAGAACACACTCAGCCTTAATAATACATTTTGGTTTTTTTCTGGTTTGGTATCATTTCTTTTCTTGAAAATTACAAATCCTTTCATTTAAGAATTTAGCTTACTTCATAGCTGACTTCCACATACCTGCTACACTTCTATTTTCCTTTTTCCCCACTGATCTCCATATTAACAGTGTCTTTGCATTCCCAAGTTGTTCTTGGCTGCTGAATAAATCACCTTTTCTGTATCTCCTTTTTCTAAAAAACCTCTTATCAGCCATCTTACTCTTCCCATATAATCTACCTTCCACAAATTACCCTTCTCTTTTATAACTAACATTTTTGATGTGCCTTTTAACTAGGATGTTGACTTCTGAGCATTGTGGTATCTGAAAACTTCAAACAATTCTCAATATATTAATACCATGACAGGTTTGAATTCTTTATTTGCTGTTCTTTTACCTCCAAATCTGACAAAAAAACTGATTCAAAAACTGCACAATGGTCAATGGCACTTAGCTATCTATGACTACCAGTCAATCTTCAAAAACAAGTTTTAAAAGTCAATATTCATAAGCATGCAGAAGTCTCCAAATTTCCATCACAAAGCACAGATCATACTCAAAACAGAGCAACAGCTTTTTGCTTTAAGTTGGCATTTTTAGCCATAACTTATAACTGTCTTAAAATATTCTTCATTCTTTCCAGTTTGAATCTCAATACCAGTAAACTACGAAACACAAGAATATCCTGTTTTAGCAATCTTCCATATAGTTAGTATACAAAAAACACCTTCAGATGCATGAACAGTTTTCAAACACCTGTGTATCACTTCATAAAATCTGGATTACAAACATGAAATCTAACTGTGTCTGAATATTTAGAAAGTAAATAGATCAAATACTTTTTTTTTAAATTTTCAAATCTCATCTTCAAAGTATTTATGGATGTTCAAACTCACAAATACTCTGCATATCTGAAGTTCATACAGTGGTTTGAATCTACAAGTGTAGATTTAACCTTTTAAATCCTTCTCTTCCCTCCTCTTCCTTTACTTGGAGAAACTCAACCTCCCTTTCTCTCACTATTACTGAAATGTTTCTATTTATCAGACTTCTACTTTCTGTTTTAGTCTTTTCTTAAGGACTGTAAAAGAGGTCATCTGTAAAAGAGTTCAGCTCCAGCACTTTTTTTCTCATGTCTATCAGCCACAGAAGCACATACTTAAAAACTAAATTTTCTATGATGTCAATTAAGTCTTTATTAATTTCATGTTCATTGGCCAAAATTTCAGTTGTCCAAATTCTCTTATGTATAACAGCCTTATAAATACTCTTGAAGTATAACAGTAAAAGATCACAGCCCACCCATTCATCTTCTCCAACAGTTCAATTTTAAAAGTAGCAATAAAAGAAGAAAACCATTACTACACTTTGTCATGTAATTAAAAAGAGAAAATATAGAACATCTATATTAGAAAATTAGAACATCTATAAGGAATTAAGGGGCAATTTTCAGCACCATCAAAGCTTTTTTTATAGTAGAGCTTTTGTAGGATATGAAAGACAAGTCTTCACACTGTACAACACTGTATTTGGAAAAACTAGAAAAGCAAAAACAAGATGGCATAACTTGACAAAATGCTTAATCCTTTCTTAGCAATGTATTCCTACTAACATAATAAAAGAGAAGAAATAAATTGCAAAGATATATTTTAATTTTATGTATGGAAAGAGGATTTTAAGGTATAAATAAATAATTTTTATATAATCATTTGCATTTATTTAAAATATAATAGATATAATTAGATATCATTAATATATTAATACTACAGATATTTAAGTCAGAATTCAATACAGTCCTTGACAAAAATGCCATCCAAGCCTTATGCTGGTAATTAAATATTAATTGCAATACCATGGCAACGGAAACATTGTCTGTTCTTTTACTGAGACAGACCCACTAGAAGAAACATTTGTGTTTCACAGATAACATCCAGTATTTCCTCTAAGGCTACATGAGTCATGTTTCTCAAAATTTTCCCATAAATTTTTTTAAAAAAACCCATTTCCATGCTTAAAAATCAATATAATATAAAAAAGAAATAATCTAGGAAAGTGCTGTAGGAGAAATTCTTGCTAAAATAATCCTGCCACAGGGAAAAAAAATAAACACATTGTTTTGAATCAGCAGCCAAATTCCATTTAGAATAAACTGTGGGAAGATTTTGCCTTCTGGAAACTAGTCAGTGCTGGCCTTTGGCACCAGCACCTGCTTCTCAGAAGGCTGACAAGTGATATGTTTTTTAAAATCAATTTAACATTTTTGATTCTTTCACCACCATTTTACAGAAACCTAGAACTCTTGCTACCACCTCAACTAAATAAATTTCAAATGCCTGCACTGTTTGGGTTTTCCTACAGCTCAGTAACTAGCAAACAGAACAGAAGCAATAAAACATCTTTCACTACCATTCTAAATGAGGCAAAAGTGACTAAACAGAGACCAAGTCTACCTTGCTGATAGCAAAATATTCTGGGACACTGCCTAATAATAAGACAAAATATATAAATATAATATTTAAGAGGATACAGTAAAACCAAAAAGACTGAAAAAACTGTGTAGGCTTGCCTCATAATTTTCTAAACCTGAGTATTTGCATTATTAAGTATAATGTATCTCTTACCATCTTCATTCAGGAACAATTTGTTGAATCTCAGTCCACTGGGCTCTTTACCAACATATCTGTGCACATACTCTGTGCCAAGATCATTGACAGCAATCGCATATTTCAAAGGTTTCACACAGGACTGGAGACAAAATGGAACTTTGGTATCACCCACAGAATGCCTGGGAAAACACAGATGAACAGCCTTGAAATTTCCTGTTTGTCAGCTGTGGCAGTAGAGTGTTAAATGCTTCATCTATCCTTCAACAAACAAGGACTATTAACAAAAACATCCCAAAAAGCCAAAGTATATTATTACTAAGTCTGATTTTAAAGAATATAACAATGAGATTTAGAGGCTTTAGCAACTGACTCCATAAGCCAAGCATAACAAAGTCAGTTGCTGACTACTGCAGAGGTATCAAAATAAAAACGAAGTTCAGAAATGGGTTTGCACCAGAGCAAAAAATCACCTCAAAGCTCTAGTCTTACACTTATCCTACTCAACTGCAACCCACATATTCAGCAGGGTACAGCTGACCCAGATAGAGCCACTATACTGATTTATGTCTATATAAACAAAGATGAGATACAGCCTGCTTCTGCCATTTGAGAACAATCATCAAATGGCCATATTTACATTTCTTTAATAATGGCAAAGATATAGCACTTATTACATGCTATCTTTTGGAAAGTTTACTTTCAGCATCTATGTCAGACTGCACCAAAGAGTGACTCATGCAAGCAGCATATGCCGCATCTAGAGAGCAAAAGGCTTGCAGCAGTCACTTGTCTGATGGCAAAATCAGGAGTGGATTTGCTTCTGTTCTTTGCAGACAACACTAGAAGGCTTTCAGTGAAAATCACAATACCATTTTGGCATTATAAAAGCTAACATTACACAACATTAAGCATTACAAAAATTAACATTATAAGAACTTTCATTAGCACATAATACCCAAAACAAAGCAAAATGTCAATTTAACGTATAAGGTTTTTTACTATTAATAGATTCTAATTCAGACACCTTAACAGGGAGATGAAAAAAATACTTCTGCTTACTTTTACAGCTCCTCCCCTGAGATTACAGAACATATGGCTAATTATAAGCAAACATATGGATCTCAACATATCATGGCGAAATGAACTCCAAGCCACAGTCACCAGAAGCGAGTCTGATGCTCTCAGGAATGCCCCATTCACAAACACAACACCTAAAAATTGCAGTTTCCAGAACCTGCAGCAGGACCACAGCAAACTGCAGGTCAGCAGAGCTGATGGGCACCTTGCATTGTGTACTCAAAAGGGAGACACAGAGCTCATGTTACTTCTCAGCTGGATGGTGCAAGGTATCCCTTTACCTCTAGGCTCCTAACTGTCTCTGCTACTCTGAGTTACTGATACTGAGAAAAATAAAATCACTCTGACCAGATCTAAGACCTACATACACCCTTACAGGGGAAAGCTTGATAAACCTGAAAAGCAAAATTGTATTCAGCTCTGTCCAGTTCCCACATCTTCATTTTCTTTTTAAAGAACATGAATCTGCATTTTTTCAGTGACACACAGATTATATAACAATGTTACAGTAAAAACATTAAAATGCAGAGAAGGAGCTAACACTGAAGTACATTGTGACCTACAGAGAAAGTTATACAGCTTGATGCACAGGTACTGTTAGACAAAGCTTTTCAACTTCCAAATAGTATTGCTAGAGAAGCATTGCCTCTATCTTTCCTTCAACTACTCCAAGAACTAAATACAGAAGTTACAAAATGTAGAAGTTAAAATATACCTCTGTCCATCCACGGTGCAAAGTGACACCCCCCACAAATCAGGGCTGAACTTGGCCAGTTGTGGAATATAGTCAGCAACCTATGACAGTGTGAAAGAGAGACACATTACAATATCCAAAATACTTAACTCTACATTAATTAAAATAAATATCAAGGTTCAACTGATTTATTCTATACACAAGGTACAACTGATTTATTCTATAAATTATCACTTGATATACCTAAAATTTCATTAGAAATTATTATATTCACTAGATCATTATCAAATAAAACATTTTTCTAAGTAAAATTTTCAGCATATTCAGAGAGGTATCTGTGTTCTGTGTAACAGCATGTCCATCATTTTCAAGTAATATAAAATTTTTAGTTTGTAACACAGTCTGGGATTTTTCAACTAACATATGCAAAATAAGCATGAAAATAAATTTTATTTACTAACCAATGTGCAGTATTAACAATTATTTTCATCACACAATCCAGACAGATGTGTAGAGCTGCATAATTTTTCTCTAGCCTAAGTGTAGTCTGATAAATTATTCAACAGCTTTATAGTTTATGTAATATAAAGAAAGAATAATGCTCTTTTCATATCCTAACATCAAATTGCTACAAGATTCTTAGAGGCTGTGAACTTTATTTCTAACACAGTTTACACAGTGCAGGCATAACTGAACTTCAAAACTCTTTCATCAAGTTACCAGTTTAATTTTGCAAAAAATGTTAAGAAAAACCTGTCTACTTAACAAATTATGCATTTGGTTAATACTGAAAATCTACAGAAGTTTGAAGTTCAATTTACAAAGAGATTACCTTTCCTCCAGATTGTTTTTTAGCACTTTCATATAGCTCATCAATATGGGAAGTAAACGACATAAAATCTGGAATGACAAACTTCCTTCTGAAAGCTTGAGTAAGCAACACAATATTACTCTGTACACACCTGCAAAAAGTTAAAAACATTTATTAGTACTTGGACAATGAAGTGTGAAAAAGCAATTACATGTAATTTAATTAGGACCTTCAGTCCCTTGAAGCTACATGCCTAAGAGGAGGAGTCTATATTACTTTTCCAATTTGCCACTCCATTTTTAAAAATTAGTTGTAATAGCTTTACTGCATGTATTTTTATTCCTTTCTACTTAAAGTTCTCTTTGGAAGTTTCAAGTGCAAGGTATTACCAATCTGCCTTCAAGTAGCACCTCAGCTTGCAAAAGGGATCTAAAGCACCCAATTCTTGGGATCAAACTATCTGAAGTTTATCTAACCCAGACCTTGTCTAAAAAGGTTCTAATAAAGCAGACTTGGGAGGTTCAGGGTTGCTTTCTCTCACTTCACCCTTTCACCACTAACTGAGGTGATAACACTGCCAACAGACCGAACTGGAATGTGATTCCATTCTTAATAAGGAAAAAAACCTGTGGAAAAACTTGATAACATCTCCTGCACTAAGCAAAAGTCAGTAGTGAGCCATACTGCAAGTTTCTTGTTTCAAATCCCCAGCACTCAAGGAATCTGTTGCGCTTTAGCCCAGAAAACAGAGTTACACTATCGGCCACACCCTCTGAACGTCAGCCCATCTGGGACAGCGAAAAAACGATGAGGTAAAAAGGAAGAGACTTATCTAGGACAAACAGAAGGAAGGACGAAAACACAAACTGAGACATGCTCAAAGCGGTGTGGCTGTGGGTGAGAGAGGAGAGCAATTGGCAGCCATTATCAAGTCAGTTGAAATACGACCTGATAAAAGGCATTAACAGCCCCATCCAGGGCAAGGAGGCCAAAGGCAGGTTTGACAGCAAACAAACAGTTAAATTAACACCTTCACACCGTGCCTTCTGGCACTGTTGACAGAAGCAGGCACATACTATTAACGCAGGCAAATGGAAAGTTAAGAACATCTAGGCACAGGCTACGAATTGTCTTCCCTTTGAATCCTCCCTCTTTTTCTAGGCCTTTAAACTCCTCCTACTTCGAGGACTTTATCTTAAATTGAACTGATATCCATTTCAAATGCTGATAAGCACTCCTCTCTGAAAGTGAAAGAGAAACTGAAGTTTCCGATGTACAGTCACTTTACAAACTGCTATCTGTAATACACCACTTTCTTAGCCTATGTGAAAACTGCAGTTGAGTTGTTTTTGTTGCAATCTGTCATTTTTTTTCTGTATTTTGCAAAAACTGCTGTTTGCTTTTGCTTCCAATTACAGTCACCGAGTCCAGGTGCAAAACCTCTTCTCAAAAGTAATTAATAACACTGCAGGCAGCTATGTGTGCAGAAGGACTAGCAGCATAACATGCACTAGGTTCAAACTTCAGATGCACTTCTACATTGTCTGTACTACCTGGACAGCATTAAACCCTCCTATAAGAAGAAACAAATATCTGAAATTCACCCAAACCTTTTAGAACAATTCAACAAAAGGCTGGAAAACAAGAAGGCAGTGTGCACTGAAATACAGTTCTCTTAAGATGACATTATGTTTCTGAAACAAGAAGGGCATTTATATAGTTAAAATTTACACCAAGCCCATGATGCTCACTTCAGCAGTTCAATGTAGGGATTAAAACTCACTACAGAAATGGCTGTGCTGGTGAAGGATATTTACTTATTGTTACCAATTTTTCCCAGGCTCTGCCAAGGTCATTGTCTGGGTATTTATCCTGGTACTCCTTAACCCAAACAAATCCTACGACTTCATAGACTAAATTAAATACAAGGGTTCAGGTTATCTAGATGGGCATTCAGAACAATAGGTGCACAGACAAAATAACAGAGTTCTTTACTCCCTTAAACAGGACAGTAAAGAAGATTGACAATTTTCAGTCAGGCAGGACATGAGCCAAGACAGCCTCTAAAATTCTGCAGCTGACATCTCCTCCCACCTAGGTAATTAACTAATTATGTTCCAGGTAACCCTCTGGAGATGGCTGGCCTCAGGCCTTGAAGAAGTGGAGCAATAGGAAAAGATCATAGGGAGGAATTTAAGTAAATAATTATACTGATAAATAAAGACCTTTCCACAGTCAAATACTGTGAACAACTTGGCCCTTATCTCTCACATAGTTTAGTGGCGTTCAGGATAGGTACTCTAAAAAGTGCTACTTTACATTCTTCCATTTCAACAAACTTTACAATGTCAGCCTGTAAAAAAACCCCAGAACTCTCTTGCCAAATCCCAATCCAAGTATTTCTTGCCCTGCTTTAAAAAATGTAATTTCAAACTATAAATTTTCCCTGATACATTTTGGTTAGGAAGATTTGGCTGCAAGTCTTATGATCAATATTAACTGTCAGTGACTTGTATAACCAACTTTGAAAGCAACAGTTTGAGGGGTTTTGGAAATTGCATCTTTGTTCTTTAGCACAAAGTTAGGATCACTTTGTTTCCTTTACCACCTTGTTAGGTTTATCTATTATTTTTCAAGTTCTGACTCAGATTGCCTATTACTGCTTCCCTACACAAAGCAGCCCAAGTTTCATCTAACAACAGATGAATTTGTTGAGTACTATTATTATAACAAAGTACTATTATATTAAGTAGTACCAAAAAGGAAAAAAAGGAAAGAAAAAAAATTCTCATAGCAAGCTAAGCAGCATGTTGCACTGC